CCGCATCTCGCGGAAGCATCGGCGATGCGGCTCGATGCGGAGCCCGATTTTCTTCACACGGACGTCGCCGATGTATCACCGACGTCGCCGATGCATCGCCGGTGCATCGCCGATGCATCGCCGATGCATCGCCGATGTATCGCCGATGCGGCGCAATCCGCCGACCCCATCTATTCTGGCCCCATCTGGGAGGCCTTTGGGTAGAGCCAGCGATTCTCTTGGATTCCCCAGCCTTGGTAGATCCAGTGGAAATTGGGCAGCACACGAACATTTGGGGTTGATCAAGTGCACAAGACGGAGACAGGTAATGCTCGTGTCCGCCGCCATCGCCCTCTACATCGCATTCTCGGCGATGATCCAGTCTTTCTGCAACCTTGCGGCAACCGAGATGCTCAGGCAGAAGCTCCAGAGCTTTGATGATATTAATCAGGACCCTCACGTTGCTGGAATCATTAACTCCCTCCCGACCATGGTGCTGGCCAACTCTTTTCACTCCATCGTCTTCGCTATTGCGACAGGCACGGGGCAGTAACAACAGCTGAGCCAGCTCAGCTGAGCTGCGTGCGCATGCGCATCGATACACCGCGGAATAGGTGTTAGGCTCGCGCATGGACTGCATGCGGAATAGGTGTTACGCTCGCGCATGGACTGCATGGCTACATGCTTGCAGATGTTCGCGTATTCGTAACATGCACGTCTGTGCATCACATGTCATATGTGCCCATGCAAACCCAGCTTAGTGCACCGCATCGACAGCACGGGCCCACAACTCACAGCACCGAAGTACCGACCAGCCGCCCAAGCCAAGCAAGGTGTCACGACTAGAATCGTGGAGACGTGCGAAGGGACAGGATAACGATAACGATACGAGTAGACCACGGCACGTGACGGGCACGGTAAGTCGAAGCACATGGCGTGTCTGCACAGCGGGCAAGGCCGAGAGCAAATCTCACACGGCAGAGAGCGGGAGCCGCAGAAGGCCCAGATGGGGGCCAAGGTGGGGCGACGCGGGGCAGGGCCGACGCGCGGGCTCGACCCGGTGCGCCTCCCCAGCGGGTGGGCAGGAGAGCTCGACCGAGCGAGCACGGCATCCGACGACGTGGCTCTTGCAGTGCGCGGCCCCAGAGGTCCGTTCCGAAGAACTTCTGTCAGAGCGTGAATTACCTACCCCGCTTTCGCTTCCAGGCAAAACCAAGTCATACCATACGCCTCCTCGTCAAGCGGCCTGACCAGTACATGCCGTAGTTTGGCATCGCTTGGTATCTCTTGGAAGCGAGGGTGGTCAAAAGCGAGGTAGGTTTGCTTGCCCCCTAATCTGTTCACGTACACGGTTGGGCGCGCACGTCCTCTGTGGGCTCCCTGAGGTTTGTACCTCTGTGTCGGAGCCCGATCTGTCGCAGCGCGAGGAGGTGGTTGGATCGGGCGCCGGGGCCCTGCGCGGACCTCCAGAGGTCCGCTGCCCTTCCCTGGGGTCCGTTTTTCGGCCCGGAGTCCTTCTTGTTGGTCCCTCCTCCTCCTCCTCCTCCTCCTCCTCCTATTCCTCCTCCTCCTCCTCCTCCTCCTCCTCCTCCTCCTCCTCCTCTTCCTCCTCCTCCTCCTCCTCCTATTCCTCCTCCTCCTCCTGTTGGTCGCGGGGGCCCAGTAACGAGCCCGGGAGGCCGAAGTCGAGGAAAACGCCGGGGCTGAAGAAGCACGTCGTCGCTGACCCGGGAGTGGGCAGGATGCCGGGTGAGGATCGGGCAGGAGTTACAGGTGAGGGCGCGCCTTGGGAGCGTCTTCCAGCGCCGATCGCGCGGCAGCACCCCGCGCGCATTCGCGGGGAGTGCCTCGGGGTTCGCCAGCCGGTCGGCCCATGGAATTGGCGGTCGGCACAGCAGGGAGTCAGGGGGGAAGCGATTGTCAGTTTTCGGAGGCTTGAGGTGTGAATACTTCGGACGTTTTCGTCGGCTCTTGTAGTTCCCAACCACCCTGTGGTGTTAGGTCCTCGCTTTGAAGAGACGGTCCCTGCGTTCTCCTCCTCCTCCTCCTCCTCCCTCCCCCTCCCCCTCCTCCCTCCTCCCTGCGTTTCACCCACCCAGTACAGCGCTTCATGATCCCATAGGGAGCTCCACCGAAGGCCCCAGTGCTACTGTCCACATGCGTCCCCCGCACCCATTTCGGCACACCCCTCACACGTTTCGCGTCGCCCCGCAGGGAGCTCCACCGAAGGCTCCAGTGCCACCGTCCACGTGCGTCCCCCACACCCATGTCGGCACACCCCTTACAAGTTTCGTGGCCCCATTGGGAGCCCCACCGAAGGGCCCCAGCGTGCCACCGTCCACATGCGTCCCCCGCACCCATTTCGGCACACCCAGTACAGCGCTTCGTGACCCCATAGGAAGCTCCACCGAAGGCCCCAGTGCTACTGTCCACGTGCGTCCCCCCCACCCATGTCGGCACACCCCTCGCACGTTTCGTGGCCCTATTGGGAGGAGCTCCACCGCAGGCCCCAGTGCCACCGTCCACATGCGTCCCCCACACCCATTTCGGCACACCCCTCACGCGCTTCGTTGCCCCACAGGGAGCTCCACCGAAGGCCCCAGTGCCACCGTCCACATGCGTCCCCCACACCCATTTCGGCACACCCCTCACATGTTTCGTGGCCCAACGGGGAGCTCCACCGAAGGCCCCAGTGCCACCAGGCCCCCGCGCCACCGTCCACATGTGTCCCCCACACCCATGTCGGCACACCCCTCACATGTTTCGTGGCTCCATCGGGAGCTCCACCGAAGGCCCCAGCGCCACCGTCCACATGCGCCCCCCACACCCATTTCGGCACACCCCTCAATCGTTTCGTGGCGCGTGGAGCGCCACCGAAGAAGATATTCACAATTGCCGTACGAACAACTGCATATAGTTGGGTCCTTCGCCAGGCTATTTTTTTCTAGCCTCGGGATGCGTTCCAACAGCTGCGCCTCGTCGAGAGCTTTCATGGGGTGCCCAGATCGTCCCGAACGCCCGCTGGAGGCCCCGAACGATGCCCCGAAAAAAGGGAAGCTCTTTGAAGTTTTCTTCACACAGGAGTTTGGGGAGCTATCGTCAGGCAGGCCTGGGATGAAGGTATTCCAAATCCCTTATTAATCATCCCCCCTGTATGGTTTTTTAAGGCGCCTTTTTTGTAACTGGGGGGGTCTAGTTTATTAGGGCGCTTTTTTTGGATTGGAGCTTAGGGGGTCCTGTTTATTAAGGCGTCCCGTCGAAGAGGGGGGTCCGTAATATTAGGTAGCATTTGGAGGGGGTCCGGTCTTTTAGGGGGGGTCGATTACTCAGGAATTTGGAGTAGGTCGTGCCAGAGATGTATGGAACGCACTCGGAGCGTTCCGGAGCGCCTTGGAACAGCCGCGGCGCCTGGCAGATCTTCCAGACCCGCCAGCTCTCAGAGTTGTTGCCATTCGGTCGTTAGGATTAAGTCGGGCCTGTCCCTCTTGAGGAGGCATATTCAGAAATAGTCAGAAAATACTATGGGGACGATTTTTTGACCATCTTTGAACATGGTCTGAGAATTGTTTTAGTATTTTTGAGTGTCCGTCCAAAGTTAGCCTGGAGGGGGACATGCCCGACCTAACGTTAGGAGCTGCTTGCATTAGAATGGCCGCTGCGGAAGGCATGCTGTTCACACTCTGCGGCTGCCTGGCAACGAAGGGCAACAACACGTGCTGCGCCGGCTGCTTCTGCTGCTGCACCGGCTGCCACCTCGGCATGGGCTGCCTCGCGTTCTTCGGCATGCTGATCTTCATGTTCTGGCTCAGCGCCGTGGACACGGGGCTGCAGGCGCAGGGGGGGTCAAAGAATGCGGTCGCCCACATTCAAGGCTCTGAGGTAAGGATCACGTTGGGCTCAGAAAGGGCCCCGGTTCTCGGGCGCCGCTCCTCGGGTCCAGGTCGGGGGACAGGCTTGCGCCCGAGCCGCGCCGCAGCCCGTGGCAGAAGAGCGCCTTCGTTCCGTGTTCAGCGCTCCTGATGGTAGCACGATGACTGCATGGGCGGGATAGGCTGGAGGACGGGCGGCGCCGGGCGGGTGAAGTAGGAGGTGGAGGAGCAGCAGGAATCATTACCCCGACATCGGCGTCGTAGCAGTACCACACATGTATCTAAAAGCGTCACCGAGCCGTCGACTCACTCCCTCCTTGTACATGATGTGTTCGTGCCGTTTCGATGCGTCAGGGTCCTCGGCTCGAGACAGAGGAACATTGCCCGATGTTTCAGACCACGACGCCTGTGGTGGGGGGATAGGACGAGGAGGAGGTGCACACCCCGAGATGTCCGAGGTCTCAGTCTGTTACAGCACGTCGGGCTATGGAGCGACCCACCCCAGCATCAGCACGGAGTTAGCTCCCTGGGTTGCGTTCTGTGGGGCCCCGGGCCCGACGCGGGTCTCTGGAGGCTCACGGTCCGAAGAAGCGGGCCGCCGCCGCCCGGATTTTTTGCCAGAGGGCGAGTGGCCAGGGCCTGACGTGCCCAGTCTCCCGACATCGCGATGTTCCCAAACACCTGGGCCTCCGGAGGCCTGCCTGTCGGAGGGCACCAACTATACACCAACACCGATCCTGGCCCAGGATCGGTGTTGGTGTATAGTTGGTGCCTTCCTAGCCTGGGCCCCTTCCCGGGGACGCGCCCGTCACCCGGCGTCGTTCTCTGACAAGCCCGGGCGCCAGCAGGGGGCCCCCGGGCGGGGTGTCCGCCATCGGGATCGCGGCGGGAGTTGCCAGGAGGGGGAGGGGGTTCTGAGCGGGTGCCATGGTGGCTCAGATTTGGCTTAACTTAGCTCAACAGTGGGCTATACTCAAAATCCCGTACCAATGGACCCCCACCTAGAAAACCGGACCCCCCTCCAAATGCGACCTAATATTACGGACCCCCCCTTCGACGGGGCGTTTTGATAAACCGGACCCTCTAAGCTCCAATACAGAGAAAGCGCCTTAATAAACTTGTGACCCCCCCAGTTACAAAAAAGGCGCCTTAAAAAACCAGACCCGGGGGACGATGAATAAAGGATTTGGAGTAAGCCACCTCGGCATCCAGTTACAAGCTCTCCATTCGCCTCAGCAACCAGCGCGGTCATTCAAGCAGGGGCCATTCAGGGCCCCTGTGAGATCACCTTTCTGCAAGCCTCGATCCTTTCACGTTTATTGCTCCCCGTTACCGTCCGCCCGACCAGGGGCCGGACAGTTGCAACATCAAAGCATGTCGATTGTATTCGACGCGAGGTGGTCTGGGTTCGCATACAATTCCTGGAAGGCTTCCATTGGCGCTAGTTGATCCGTGCTCGAAAACAAACGAATTCAGCAGAATCCCACTCAGTCCGGTTTAATCATGAACTCAATCTGGCCTGATCCGTTTCAATGGCCTATCATCAGAGCCCCGAGTCATCAGGGGTAACTCGGGTCAGGGATAACTCGGGTTCGTTTTTCGGGAATCCAAACCCGAGTTACCCCGGACCCGAGTTACCCCGGATAACTCGGGCGTCCAGAGCCCCGAATCATCAGGGGTAGCTCGGGTCAGGGGTAACTCGGGTTCCTTTTTCGGGAATCCAAACCCGAGTTACCCCGGACCCGAGTTACCCCGGATAACTCGGGCGCCCAATATCAATCGGGGGTCATCTTCCCTTATCGTTCTGACGAAGACCTCCCAGGAGTTGTCTCACGACGCAAGGTGGTCCCCGCGACTTCATGATTGACCGGATCCCCGGATGTTTACACTCATCCCCAGGGACCGGCTTTTCATTCTGAGTATTTGCTTGACGGTCCCAGGACATGGCGGGGGCCCCCAGAGTCAGAACATATCAAGATTATGCGAAAGCCTTCCCTCAAGATTTCATCATGGCCCGATGGAGTCTGTGTCTGGTATCCTCAAGGTTTGGCTGCAGAATTGCGACCCGATCGAGGCGTGCGGGAGGAACGGGACGGCCACCGACCGCGAGCACATGGTGGACTGCCTGGCGGCGGGCAGCCCCAGGGGCGGCCACAAGTTACAGCGGATGGTGAGTCGGGAGCGTAGCCTTGAGACGGGGGTCAATTCACACGGGGGCCTTGAGCCAGAGCGCTGGATCTTGCAGGATCTTGCAAAGCCAGGGTTGCACTGACCAGGGCTAGCGCGCAGGAGGGTCCTGCAGGATCTTGCAGGATCCTTCAAAGCCCGACTGATCCGGGTTGACCCGGGTCAGTAGATCCCCGAGTGAGATTTGGCTTCCTCCTCGAAGGAGGAGGAGGCGGCGGCGGTGACGGAGGGAGGCGGGGGACACGTACTTCCTCTCGCTGCGAAAGAGTCACGACGGGAGGTTCTTGGTCATTTTCGGCCTCCCGGGGCCAGCGCCGGGCCCGGGGACAGTCACAGAACGACTCGGGATGAAAACGAGGTCCTGGGGAAGGGGTGTAGATTTCTGCTGAGGTTCCACGCTGCGAAAAAAATACACGACGGCTGAGATCTGTGATGGAGGGAAACGGAGTCAGTTGGACGACGAGTTGTTTGCTCGGTGCGCGACACATGCTGGAAGAGGGAGGGGGAGGAGAACAAGGATGACGAGACGAGGATGAGGGAGGGGGTGAGCAGCAGGAGGAGGGGGAGAAAGTGGAGGAGGGGCGGGAGCAGGGACAGACGAAAGAGGAGGGAGGTCAGAGCGAGGAGGAAGAAGACGATTCACAAGAGAACGCATGCACGTTGCCTGCCCCCTTCAAAGAGGGGAGGCGCGTGCGCCGCGTCCGCGGAAGTCGCCGCCTCGATCATCACCATCCTCCTGCAACTCCTGCAGTTTCTCCTCCAGCTTATTCTCCCCTCCAACTCCGCTCCTCCCCCTGCAGCTCAATTCCTCCTCCTCCTCGTTCAACTTCTCCTCCAACTCCTCCTCCTCCTCCTCCTCATCATCATCATTATCATCAGCATCATCCTCATCAGCATCATCCTCCTCATGATCACCATCCATCACCATCATCATCATCATCAGCAGCATCATCAACATCATCAGCATCATCAGCATCATCAGCATCGCCATCATCATCATCATCATCATCATCATCATCATCATCATCATCATCATCATCATCATCATCATCATCATCATCATCATCATCATCATCATCATCACCATCCTACTCCTCTTCATCATCATCAGCAGCATCATCATCAACATCCTCATCCTCATTTTCATCCACATCCCCATCCTCACCCTCATCCGCATCCTTATCCTCAACCTCGCCTTCCCCCTCCTCATCCTCTATCCTCCTCCTCCTCCGCCTCCTCCTCCTCCTCCCTCCTCCTCCTCCTCCTCCTCCTTCTTCTCCTCCTCCTCCTCCGCCTCCTCCTCCTCGTCCTCCTCCTCTCAGTCCTTGTCCTCCTCGTCCTCCTCCTCATCCTGAATCCTCTTCCCCCCCCTTCCTCCTCGCCCGCCACGGGGACAGGAACGCCACTGCCTTGGCGCCCTCTGCCTCGCCCCGAGGCATGTGGCGGGACTACCAGCCGCACTTCGGCGAGAGGAGCTTCTCGGGTCGGGGGGGGGGGCGCATGGCGCGAGTGGGCGGCGGAGTGCGGGCAGGGAGGCCGAGGACCCGAGGAGGGCGCAGCAGAGGATAACAAGAAGAGCACGAAGAAGGAAAACAACACGAACGCAAACACCAGAACGGTGACCCGGATGAGGAAGAGAAGGAGGAGGAGGAGGAGGAGGCGGAGCAGGAGAAGAGGACGACGAGGCGGAGGAGGAGGGGAAGGGGAAATGAGAAGGAGGAGGAGGAGGAGGTGCAGAAACGGAGATGGGGAGGAGGGAGGAGGGAGGAGGCTCTTGAGTTGCCCCAGCGATCATCCCCGTTTTAGCCTGTCTCCTGCCGTTGCCTGCCCTCGCCCGCTCGACCATAACATTTCGGTTCACAAAGTTTTTGAGGCCTACTGGTGCAGAGATAATCCGACAGGAGGCGGCCTGTCACTTGATGGTAACGGAGGGCGCCCCCCTTGCCCCCGCCAGCTCCCGCCTACGTTGCGGCGTGCGCGGTGGTCTGCGAGACGCGTCCCGGGGCGGGGACAGCGAGTCAGCCCGCAGGGAGCACGTCGGCATCCACGGTGCGGGGAGTGGCAGACTCGCAAAAGTTTGATATTTTGGGCGGTGTTCGGCGACCCGGCAGTCTCTGTGACGTGTGCAGCAAACCCGCTGCGACTTCCATATTTATCCGACAGCGGCTCGTCTGGGCCGTGTGCATCCTCACCTCGCTGACGAAGGTCTAAACGCTGGAGCTCGAGAAGGGCATCCCGCTGTATGATGGAAACTATGCGTCTGTCCGAGGAGCATCAAGAGCGGGCTCGAGACGCCCTTCTACGGACTGCGAAACGATAGAAACGGACGGATATGGAGGCGGTAGCTATCACATGAAGAAAAAAAGGCCAACACGCCAGGATTGGAGCTACTTCTGCAAATGCTTGGTGAAGCATTGCTGAAAGAGAGACCCGTCTGAGCTGCTGAGTTGTTCGACGGCGCGCTGTACGACAAGTCGGTCTGGTGGGTGCCTGACGAGAGCACGCAGGAGTACATCACCAGACGGTCGAAAGCATTCGACGACTTTGACTATACATAGATACACAAGCACACATACATACATATATATATATATGTATACAAATGTGTACGCATATGTATATGTATATTTGTTCATATATATGTATATATATATATCAAAAGAAAAAAAAAACTAAATTTGGATACCAGCATATCGGACGACCTGCAGGCCCACCTGCTGCTGAAGGTCTCAGGCTTCGAGAACTCGGACCACGCTAGTATCATCAGCAGATCCGGCAAGAAGTACGACAGTAAGCGTCTGGCAAAGCGCTGCGCACGCAGCACCCCAACATCCACGAGCCAGAGTGGAAGGGCAAGAGTGACCAGCAACCCGATCCCTGGCCGCAGCGATACGGACAACGACGGCACCACATAAGCATCAGCATCAGCATAGATCAGCGCGGCAAGCTGGCAAAGTTGAGACAGTGCGCCCAGTCCCCAAACGAAGACAGCTTCGAGCACTACCTCGGCGAGGACGAGGCCACGCTGGAGGAGATCGACGGCGTGGACGAGGAGGCCCCGGAGAGCTCCGTAGCCATTGTCCAGCGCGCGCAGAGGTCCCATGGCAGGGGCAGCAGCGGCGGCGGCGGCAAGGGCAGCGGGCGGCGTCGAGAGCTGCGGTCTCGGGCGGCGAGTTCGAGGGGCGAGCCCCTCGGCAAGGGCCCGGCGAAGGACAGCCCCAAGCGGCGAGTTCGCATTGAGAAGCTCAAGAGGACTACGAGGTGTGCGACTGCCCGATGTCATCAGGCTCATCGCCGCCACCTTCGACGAGGACGAAGAAACGGTCACGGGCTACGACGACTCGGCGGCTGCGTGCCAGAATGGCGCCAGGATCGCGGAGGTCTTCGCGGCTGCAGGCAGCGCCGACCTCGGGGCTAAGGCCGCGGCGAATCCGATGATGAAGCCGATGGCGGAGCCCGCCCCTGGGCGCGGCCACGTCGACCCCGCCGCCGCGAAACGCCGAGGCGCAGCGATGGCCTCCTGCCGACCATGAGGTGGCCATGCGAGCACGCGGTGAAAGCTCACCTGCGGCTCCTCAGGGGCGCGAATTGCATCGCCAGGTGCGTCGCTCGCCATCTGTGCGAGCCCAGCTGCGTCCACGTGATCGAGGCCTACCGAAGCAACGGCCGGAATCTCTGGCCGCACCTCATGGCCTCGCTATAGGCTACAGTGCGCGCCCTGGGGTCAGAGGATCTGGAGACCGGGGCGTCGGCCATGGCGAACTCGAAGCTTCGCGCGCCCGGGGGCCGCGCCGGGGCCGCCGCCGCGGCGGCCGCGGCGGTCACTTGCACTGGCGCGAGTTCCAGGACAGCATCGAGCATGGCGCGGAAGGCGGCCGAGGTCGAGGCACTTGGCTCCGACGACGACGACTGGCCCTGGGAGGGGATCAACGAGAACACCGAGGTGAGCGACGACGAGATCTACGCGGCGTGCCCGGCGGACTTGGGGCAGGGCGCGGACGGCCTCGAGTTCGAGGGCCCACCGCTCGGGGTGAAGAAGACCAGGACCGGCAAGTGCCCAGGGTTTGCGCTCGCCGAATTCGCGGGCAGACAGACGACCGCGAACTACGGCGCCAACGTCATCAAGGGGGCCATGGGCCAGGGGGCCCTTGAGGGAAGCACAGGCATGACCAGTGCTGGCTCGCATGGTACCTGATCTTCCTCTCGGCCCAGGGCGAGCGGAGCGCGGGCGCGCGCCTCTGCCAGGGGCGAGGCAGGACCAGGGCGCGCTCACCGCGCAGGGCGACCACTTCCGCGCCCTGGTGGCCGACCGCATCTACGACGAGGGCGGCGGCGACGCCCGCTCAGACAGGTGCGGCGACGTCGTCCACTCCCGCGCCTACTCGACCGGGCGGATGGACATTCCCGGAGTAGCCGCGCTGGGCGCCGCGTGCCAGATGACGATGACGGGCGCGCTCCTGGCGCCAGGGCGACCAGGAGGCGCCGGGCGAGAAGCGGCTCAAGACGGCTCCGAGGTTGCAGGGCACCAGCGTCCGAGGAGTCGGAGGCCGACATTGCGCGCGACGCGCCCACTGGCATCTGCGGCGAACTATTTGTTGCACCGGTGGCTGAACTGGGCCGAGACGCGCCGCTCCTCATCTGCGAGGATCCCCAGGCCAGCCTCGGAGTCGCGGTCGACGTCGCCCGGGCGCGCGCGGACTTCGTCGGACTCGACGTCTACGACTTGCCGTTGGCGGACACGGTCGGCGGATGCGTCGGCGCGGCTCGGTGGATTTCCGGGGCCCCGGCGTCTTCGGCGCGGAGTTCCAGATCCGGCCAAAGGACGGGCGCGAAGGCGGATGCATCGAGACGGACTGCATCGAATTTCCCGAGGCGTTGGCGACATATTCCGCAGGGCGGGGCGATCAGGCGACGGTCGAGGAGGTCTTCGAGGGCGCCCGCAATATCGACTGGGGCAACGACTTGGCCATCAGGATGGCGAGTTCCAATAGGGCCAAGAAAATGCAGGCCACCCACGAGGACCCGCGGACCGCGGAGATGCGCGCCGCGGACGTCAAGACCGGCACCGCGAGCAGGCGCAGGAGGCTGCCGCGGGGCAAGACGCCCCCCGAGCGAGTCTTCGGCGGCCGCGTCGGAACCACCCTGGTTGCGACGGCGACCCGCGGCTGCATCGGCGGCCGGCCCCTGGGCGTCGAGGATGGCTGAGGCGGCGCAGCCCGCAGGGTCTGTCAGCACGCGCGCAACCAACTGCTGGAGGAGGACCCTACGCGACGATCATCACGATGCCTTGCGGCCCGCGGGGCGACTGGGGGCGCCGCGACATCTCGAAGGGCGGCGTTGCGGCGGCGACCGTCTACGAGGCGCAGGGCGCCGCGAGGCCCCTGCTCGCGCGGCTCGACCAGGCGGCGGCGAGCGCGCCCCGTTGGAGCAACCCTTCGGCCCCAGTGCCCGCGACCAGCCTGAGAAGGACAGGGCGAGGGAGCTCGCCAAGAAGGGCGCGCTGCCCGAGTGCACCCCCGCGGTTGCCAGCTCGCCCGCGCGGGCGAGTAGACTGGCGGCCGCGCGTGCGTCGATCGCTGTCTACGAGGCGCTGCGCGGCGCGAAGTGCGACCGGAGCCACCGGCGCGAACCCCTCGAGATTGAGAAGGGGACGATGGCCGCGGCCCAGTGGCCAGAGGAGCTCGACTCGATGTTGCTCCGCGCCGTCGAACAGCAGATCGACCTGGACATCGACGAGCACGTCGAAGAAGGCCTTGGCGCGATGGGCAGCCCCCCGTTGGAGCTTCCGCCAGGGCCCGCGAGGCGACGGCCCGGAGGAAAGCAAGCGACGATGCGTCCTTCACATGAGGACAGGCGACGAGAAGATGAAGGTCCACCTCGCGACGGGGCTCGAGCTGAAGACGGACCTGCGATGGACCCCGCAGGCGCCAGGGCCGTGGCGGGGCGCTCTCGCACGAGGCGAAGGAGTGACGCGAGAGATGGCTAGGCTTCGACCCCGCCGTCGGGCGGGACATCCGCATACTGCGCTCGAATTTCAAGCACCCTACCAACGCAGCGTTGGCCAGATGCCTCAATAAGTCTGGCGCCAAAAAGGAGTTCCTGGATGCCGTCTGGGACTTCAGGTGCGACGCTTGCGGCGAGTAAATTCGGGCGAAGCATTTCCGCTCGGCGAGGGAGCCGGGGCGCTGCCAGCTCATTTTCCATCTGCTGCTCGATGCCCTGTTCGCCCACCGCGCGGATGGCGGCGCGCGCGTTTCTCGGCGTCTCGCGCGACGGGGCGCGGCCCCGGGTGGCGCGGTAGCGCTCGACGCGCCTTCCGCGGTCTGGCGCGGCTGGGCAGGGCCACCGCAGTCGATCATCGTCGACGCGGCAAGGAGTTCTGGAAGGAGTTCCTGAACCACGCGCTCGAGAAAGGCGTCGGGATCCAGAACGCGGCGCTGGAGGCACACGAGCAGCTGGGCAGGATCAAGCG